CTTAGAGGTATACCAATTTTATTAATTTATTTACAAGAACTAGCTTGTACTTTCACTAATTTTCTATCTTGTCTTCCTATTTTCAATCTCACTGACATATTATTTCTCATCTTCTGCTTGCACTGGTTTAATCTTGCTCTTCTTTCTCTAGTTTCCTGAGGTAGGAAGTTAGATTATTGATTCAAGAGCTTTACTTCCTAACGTAGGTATTCCGTACTATAAAATTCCCTCTCAGCACTGCCTTACATGCATTCCACATATTTTGATTGTAGTATTTTTACTTTCATGCAGTTATATGTATTTTTTGTTTCCTTGAAACTCACTACTAATCCCACAAATTGAAGTGCACTGTTTACTTTTCACATGTTTTAGAGTTTTCCTGTTGTCTTTCTGTTATTGATTTCTAATTTCTAATTTGATTCTACTTGGTGAAAGAACACACTGTATAATTTCAAATTCTTTTCAATTTTTTGAGATTTGTTTAATGGATATGGTTTACCGTGCTGAATGTTCTATGGTCACTTGAAGTGAATGTTTACTCTCCTATTGGTGGGGAGAGCAGTCTACACGTCAGATTCTGCTGGTTGATGTGGTGAAGATTTCTATGTCACTGCTGATTTTCTGTCTAGTACTTCTGTCTGATGCTGAGTGTGGTGCTGAAGTACCCACCTATAATTAGGAATTTGTGTATTTTTTTTATCAGCTCTAACAGTTTTTGGGTTTTTTTTAAAGATTTTATTTTTTCCTTTTTCTCCCCAAAACCCCCCAGTACACAGTTATATACTCTTTGTTGTGGGTCCTTCTAGTTGTGGCAATGTGGGACGCCGCCTCAGAATGGTTTGATGAGCAGTGCCATGTCTGCGCCCAGGATTCGAACCAACGAAACACTGGGCCGCCTGCAGCTGAGCGCGAACTTAACCATTCGGCCACGGGGCCAGCCCCTCAGCTCTAACAGTTTTTGATTCATGTATTTTGTGGCTCTATTATGAGTACAAATTTAGGATTATTATGTCTTCCTGATGGATGAATCCTATTATCATTATGTAATGTCCTTGTTTGTCTCAAGTAATTTTCCTCACTCTGAACTTATACTTCATTGACATTAATACACTCTCTCCTACTTTTGATTAATTTTATGGTATATCTTTTCCATCCTTTTACTTTCATCCTACTGTGTCATTGGATTTGAATTTCTTGTAAACAGTATATAGCTGAGTCTCATTTCTTTATCTACTCTGCCTGTCTCTTGATTGGTGTATTCAGATTGTTTACAATAAAGGCAATTACTGATACATTAGAGAATAAGTCTGCAGTTTATTATTTGTTTTCTGATGGTTTTCTTTAGTATTCATTCTTTAGTTTCTGATTTCTTGCCTTCTTGTGTGTTACCTGAACCCTTTTTAGGATTCTATTTAGTTTATTTATAGCATCTCAGAGTGTCTCTCCTTGCATATTTTTTGTAGTTTTGTTCTGGGTATTAAAATATACGTTGTAACACTTATTTATTAAGTTGTTTAAAATACTTAATAGTATTACCTCAGAAAAATAGGATAAAGACACTGTCTCTCAATCCAACCCGAAAAAACAGCAAACATCCTTCCTTCCTGAAGCTAGTCTCGGGTGAGTAGTGGAGGATTAGCAACAGTGTCCACCTTAACCCCGTCCTGCTCCTGTCCAAGGAACCTCTCAAACACTTGGGCTTCAGAGACTGGAGCTACGACCTGTAAAATACAACCTTCAGCCTCCGAAAGTCTCTTGTTCTAGTTACCCTACTTGATACATTCCTCAAGTAATAATATTTAAACTGATATGTTTGTCTAAAAATCTAGATACTTCTCAGGTTTCCTTGTTAAGCCAGGAGATAATCTTTGGAATTACTTTCTTCGTCCAACATGCATAAAGGTGTAGTCCAACCCTGACTTTCAATGGCTCTAGCCTACCAATTCCCAGGTACCTGTCAAAGAGATGCTTCTCCTAGGTCGAGTCTGAAGCTGAAAAACCAGGAGTTTAAACCCAGACCCATCTAACACTAAAGTCCATATCATCCTCTTTCCACCTTTTTTCTCAGGCTGCTGCTCTCTTGTAAGTTCTACAACTACCAATACCTACAACACTGGTCCAAACTTGATTAGCATTTTTCTTTTAAATATCCATAAAATGAATATTAATACACTAATTTTCATTCCATAATTCAGATAGAAAATTACAACAACTATCTCACAACATAAAATCCAGCATGGAAATATCCAAACATTAATTTCTAAATAGAAATCTAGTCAAATAAAAGAGAAATAACTGTTCTGGCTAGTGATAAGTGTTGCCAGAATTCTTAAAGAAAAAGTAAAAGGACAAAGCCACTTGTTACCAAATCTTTGCTACTTTCTTATGACGGTTATATCAATCAGCAAGACAAAATCTTTTATCACTAGAAAAACTACAAAATTGGTTTAACAAATGTCATGGATCTCCTCCTGAAAATTTATCATTTCACAGTAATTACTGAAAATTATGTCTCAAATTTCTGAATATTCAAGTATTTTAGGTAAGTAAAATATGTGAAAAAATTTTACATGAAAATGGATGTAAAATTGGCAATATAAAAAACTAAATCAGGTAAGTGGTGTCACCTCTATCTTTCAGGATGCACCAACATCTCCTAAAGGTAGGTGAAAATATTTGAGAAGATATTCCTCTAGCTCAGCTACCAAGTCTTTAAATTTTAGGGTAGGGCGGGATACCACACACATGCTCATATATAGTACTAATCTGGTTCTGGAGTGTGGTCCACACCATGCTATCCATTGAACACTGAACTGACAAGCGAAAATAAGGACGTGCCAGTGGCAGATTTAAGTAAAGCCTTTACCTGGATGTCGACAAAGGCCGTGTCCCTCACCCACCTCTTTCTTACTGACAGAGAACACACCTCTGAGGCCAGGGAATCCCCAGACATGGATTTAGGTTTGTGTCCTTCACATCTCTCTGTATGACTGAGGGGATGACCTAATTAAAACATGGCCAAGAAGGGTTCAAGTGTTACTCACTAAAAACGGGAGGACTGAAGGAAAACGGGAAGGTCTTGTGCACTGCTAAAGCAAACTCAACAGCAAAGGTAAGGAAAACAGAGAGTAAAGAGGAGAGTGAAGAGGAGATAGATAAAAGACTGAGAAGGCCAACAGGACTCTTCATTCACGACGACAGCTTCTATCTCAATCTTCAAACTCCACAACAAATGCGGCACAGCCTCCTCAAAGCCAAAAGGAAAACAAAAGATGATGGGATGTCACTTCTGAGAGGAGGCCTCAAAAGCTGTGAGTCCATTTTGCTGGCAATCTCTCTTTCTCTTTCACCCTCTTGCTGGCAGGCCAGCTGTGAGCTGCCTGTGGACAGGCCCACGTGGCCAGTAAGGAGGGAGGACTTGAGCCAAAAAGCTCATGGAACTCATGGAGCTGAGGCCCTAAATCCAACGAGGCAGTAAGTCCTGCCAACAATCCCAGGAGTGAACCTGGCATCAGCTCTACCCTAGTAGAGCCTGGAGGTGACGCCTTGACTCCAGCCTTGAGAGAGACTAGAGTCAAGAGATCCAGCTAAGCTGCACCCAGATTCCTAACCAAAGAAACTGTGAGATAATAAACATTGGTGTTTAAAACAAAAATTGCATCGGGGCCAGCCCAGCGGCATAGTGGTTAAGTTCGCGTGCTCCACTTCAGCATCCTGGGGTTCTTGGGTTCTGATCCTGGGTGCAGACCTACACACTGCTTATCAAGCCATGCTGTGGTGGCATCCCACATACAAAATAGAGGAAGACTGGCACAGATGTTAGCTCAGGACCAATCTTCCTCAGCAAAAAGAGGAAGACTGGCACAGATGTTAGCTCAGGACCAATCTTCCTCAAAAAAAAAAAGAAGAAAAAAATTGCATCAAAATTTTTACAAGTAACATACGGCTCAGCCATCTCTCTTGTCAGTATTTATCCTATAGAAATATGCCAAAATACACGTACAAGGATGTTCACCATAGCATTTCACAATAGTAGAAAACAAACCACCTGAAAATCTAACAATGGATCAGAAGTTAGTAACCTATAGTATCCATTCAACTGAATACTACGTAAATGAGTTGCAAATCAGTATGTTTAATTTTATCTCATTTTGTAAAACCAAACAAATACCCAAAAACATTCTCCGTGTACAGATGAATGTTACAAGATGAAGACCACTTTACTCTTAAGGAAGACTTTCTTACACTAAACATCTCCACGCGGTGGCTCAGGCTGGGTATGTTCCCAAAGGGCCTGGAGGCCAGCTGGCACCAAAGGCTCAAACTACTCTGTAAGAGGCCTTACTGAAACTTGTCATTTCATATTTCTTAAAAAGTGTTCTAGAGCCTCAAAAAAAGGAAAAAAAAAGACCGTCCACTGAGTCCCTGTGACTCAGGAAAGTCTGTACACGCAGACATACTTCTACTCACATGTACACGGCCCATAATTTCCAACGCTGACCACTGTGGACTGTTTTTAATGGCTTCTTCCTACATTCACCAAGACTTCTTTTTCTTTCTAATCCTCTTTTACTTCCATTTACCTTCCTTTCTTTAAGTTTTAAAGCCATAATTAATTAATATCCAATAATATCCAGTAATATATCTATCTGTAAAAGAAAGTTCTAGAAACTGAAACATAGTCTACTATAAACAGGTTCTAACTAATATAATTCTTTGGTTAAATGAAGTGATTCTAATAATGCAACATTTAGAAATTAACACGACTTATTTTAGACAAACTATGACTTTACCTACACACATTGAAATGTACTTTAGCAAAAGAGACTGCACAAAATCTAGATTTTTCTTCACGTATATAAAATCTTACACAAAGATGTTGAGATTTAAAATAAACGTCTCGAACAATTCCTTAAGATTCAAAAGTTACTTGCAATCAATCAGGCTAAATGTTAAACACTGGCATGTACATGTCTAAAATATATTAAAAATGCATCAACCTTTTCCACTATGATGAGGTCTCCAACTTGTATGTCTGAACTCTTAACTTGCACTTTACCTTAAAAAAAAGAAGAAGTAAAATCAACTCAAGGAAACAATAGTACACCAGAGTTAAACTTTCAATTGATAAACAGTACTTTAGAAATAACTTTTGGGGGGAAAAAACACTTTAGAAATTTATGTATACTTACACTTGCAAAATAACTTTATTTCAGATAGACACAGTCACTAAAAATTAACCTCTCTCAGTCAATCCCAAGTACGAACAATTAACTATCCCCCAGTAAAAAAAAGTGTGGCAACGTGAAAGAGGATACTATTTGTAAAGTTCTTCCCATATCTGCCATTCTTTCAGGTCTGAGTCAAGTTACTGATGATTAGAAATATGACTAAATAAAATAATTTGATGACTAAAACTGAGTAAGACGAAGACGCAAAATTCTTACTTTAATATTGTGAATGGCAGTGAATGGCACATAACTGACAGAAAAAAAGAAAGAAAATTATACATAAAATCACCCTCCACTAGCAGCTTTACAGACACAGGTCAGGACTGAAAACTAAGGTCTACAGCTTTATTTCAGAAAGCCATTCTTCTACACGACACACTGAATAAATTCTTAAATTATCTACACAATGTCTAGTATAGAAGACATCTATAAAACAACATCTACATAATAGAACGTTAATATCATACACAGTAGATGAAATATCATACAGATAATCTGAGCTATGACTTAGGCAAGCTTTCTCTCCCTGTGTGTCTGGCACCTCCCTCCTGCCCTTCTTCCGGCTCTGTGTCTCTCCTTCCTTCCCTCCTTCCCCTCCCTGTCTCACTGATCTCCCCTCTGTCAATCCCTTTTAGGACTAGCAACAGGCTTGTGTGTCTACTTTTACATTTTTGTAACTACTGTTTTAACATGCGAAAAAGTCCATTTCCTTTACATCCAGTTTATTCTGAAGGCTAACAGAACAAGAGAAAAGTTCATATTACATTATCAAAAACTAACACTGCCAGTCATTACATTGACTTTTAGACCACATTCAACTTATTATAAAACCTTATTTCCTAAGCACCTCTTAAAGCAGCTGAATTTCAGTAATACCACACCAGTACCTAAAGATTTGTTTTGAGGATATCAGAAAGCTTTCTAAACATTACATTGTATTTTTCTGTGTTCTTCAGTTATACAATAAATGCATAAGGGCTGGAGCTACTTTTTATTTATATTATAAAATAGCAATTTTATAATTCTTTAAATTTATTTAAATTTATATTCTTTAAAATTAGATGTCAAACACATCTTAAGATATCTTCATAATGGATAAGTATATGTCTATTACCAGCCAGAAAATACACTCACAAAAGAACGTCTACTTCAGTTACTTTTCATGTAGTCACTGCAAGCTTTCTGTGTCTGTACTTCCAGTGCGACGACTTTTACACAGCTGGGCATCAGGCAGCAGCTGTAGCTCACTGACCTCGCCCTCCCCGAGTATCGCGCAACAGAACTCCTGCCTAATATTTAAGTCTCTCTCTTCTACTATCAAATCCACTTTCCTTCCTTCTGCTTTTTTACAGTCTCCGTAAAAGACACATTTAAAAAGGAGAAAAAGAGAAACAGTTCCAGGCATAAGATATAATAAATGTAGTAAATAATTTTAAAATATTCTGAAACATAGAAAATATCCTTTTTTGACTCCTTAATCAAGATCTTACATGTCTGAGAGATTAATTATTCTGTCACATGATAACAGACACAATTTGTATTTAATAGCCTTTAATTTTAGGTGTTACATAGTGATCACTGTTCATTTCTATGGAACTTCCTTGTAATTAAATGTTTAAGGAAAACAGTTGAGGGTAAAATGCAGTGTTGAAAGTTCTGAAACGTTACTAATATTACAATACGAACAAAACGTGAGAATGCTAAACACGGTATAGTGTCAAATCAGTAATAATAACCTACCTCTCACGTGCTCAAAGTACACATTTCTAAATTTTGAAGAACTGGCCAAATTATTCAATAGTTCTTGATTCTCTAACAATTCTAATCTTGTGCTCAAAGGACTACCTGCACTTCCTTTACAGCCTTTGTCACCTGAACTCACTGACTTTTTTTCTGTTCTTTCCCAAAGAACAGTCAGTGCACTGGACAGAAAAGATGGAGGAAAGTCACTGCTCCCCATGCACCTGTCCACAAGTGAAGCCCAGGACCATTGCCGCTAGCTGCCTGATCTGAACAGCCTGACTTCTGACCACCCTTTGTGAGCTGAACTGATAGCTGCTCCTAGTAACATACTAACTTCACAGTTGAAAAGACTGTTAACAACAGAAAATCCCTAATTTTTACAAGTCACAGCACATATAAAACACACAACTGCTCTCACAAACTGACAGTCATAAACAACACAAAGTGTTTACGAAACGGGAATTTAAAAATTTAATAATTTCAGAGCTACACTTGATAGAAGCAAGCTCTGAATATAGTAACAAAGATACTTCAACGTATATGCCAGTATTTAAACCTAGAGACAGTTTTTCTTAAAACTATCCTATTTAATCTACCATCAAGTACAGACTCAGGAAGTCATACATTATTGGCCTTTTCCATTTTGATGAAATAGTTAGTACCGAATACTACCAAGTAAGTTAACAACAGTCCTTTCTCTCTCTAAACTATTGCAATTAACCCTTCCCATTAAATCTTTCTTCTAGCAATCAACGTTCCTTGCCACTATGCTTCAAAAGTATAATAGCTTAGGTGTTTCTTTTTCTTAGAAGGAAAGTATTCATCTACCTTGTTTCATTAACCAAGTTTTATGGACTCTTCTGAAGAAAGACCAAAAAGTAACTCAAAGAACTACTTATTCTTACTCCAAAGCACCTTAAACATATACCCTGACCACCAATCTCAACACTACTCGTTATTTTTTGCCTGTATAAAAAGAATATACTACTAAAAAATGGTCTCCATTATCACTTCCCTACTTCAATATGAATTCCAAATAATTAGCTGGAAAAAACAAAGGATTACGTCTATCCCCAGCCACTAAGCTCCATTATTCGGCAATTACTTAGAAGATAATTCAAATGTGCTCCATCACATAGACATTCTTCACAAAGGATCTCAAAGGAGCATTCTGGCTTTATCTGCCGCTCCACTTCCCTTTGTCCCTGCGCTATCGGAATCTAGCACCTGATCCTTCAACTATGATGCCGTGCTGACTCTTCTAAGTTCTCTGCATTTGCTGTTCCTTTGGACTGAAACCCCTCCCCTTCCAGACTGCCACAATTACACAGCAAATATAACCTCATGAAGCCTTTAGCAACCCATGTAAGCACCAGCAGTATTATGTAGACACCTCTATACAATGTGCTTAAAATGCTATAAATATTCAAACATCTGAATGTCTACTAAATTTCAGATCCTGTGACAGGTTCAAAGCGTAACTGAAATATACATTTATGACATTTAGTTCTTTCTTCACAAATACATATCCAAACTTAACGCAGTTTTAAAAAGAAGGTGTTTATAACCATTCTATACCTAACCAGATAAAATGGGTCAAATGACATAATGGATTAAAGAGGACATAACCATATAAGCCACAACTAACTAGACAAAGACACAATCAAATAAAGATGAAAATGTGTTAATTATTATTTCACAACAAAACACACGCAAGGTGATAAGAATGGAAGATAATTAAGCAACTTTTACAGAAAAGGACTTGATCACATACAAGAAGCACTCTAGAAGGTCAACATCAGATTAATAGGTACTGCTTCCCGGGTAGACAACTACCCTCGACAGATGGTTATTTGGCTTGTCTTCATGATGTGGGTGACAATGGCACTCTCCCCCAACTCTCTTGACACTTAAGTGGGTGAGGAGGTAGGAGCCTAATTCAAAACAGATGAGGCAAAGTGGGTAGTTGGAAAATAAGTAAATTAATTTATTAATTACATTAACATATTATACAATATATTAAAAGAGAGACCTATACTCTGAAAAAACACAATATTGCTGAGAGAAATTTTAAAACACCTACATAAAAGGAGACATCTCTCTCATTCACGGTCAGAAGACTTAATATTAAGATGTCACTTTTCCCCCAAATTTATGTACAGACTCAGCGCAATCCCAACAAAATCCCAGCAGGCTTTTCATGGAAAGTGACAAGCTGATCCTAAAAGTCACGTGGAGATGCAAAGGATCTAGACTAGCCAAACAACTCTGAAAATGGGAAACACAGTCGAGGGCAAACATTACCTGATTTCAAGGATTATTATAAAGCAATAGTAATCAAAAGAGCATGGTATTAACATAAAGCTAGACAAATAGATCAATACAATGAAGAGAGAGTCCAGAAATAAACTCACACATGAAAAACAAATGATTTTTGACAAAAGTATAAGGCAATACAGTGGGAAAAGGATCATTTTTTCAAAAAATGGTCCAGTAAACAAGTGAGTATCCACACTTACTCCCATACCTTGTACTAATACAAAAATTCACTTAGAAGAGATATACGTAATATGAATCCTAAAACTAAAAAACTTCTAGAAGAAGAAACACAGGAAAACAGCAGAAAATCTTTGTAAACTTGAGTTAGGCAAAGAGTTCTTAGACAGGACACCAAAAGCACAATCATGAAAGAAAAAACTGGTAAATTGGACTTCATCAGCTACAACATCAAAGGGGCAAGGAAGAGTGCAAAGGTGTGGGATCAATGTATTGGAGGTTGAGAAACAGCTGAAGGCAGGTATAAAGGGGATAAGCTGGAAACACAGGAAGGGACGCTAACTCCAGGTCAAGTGCCCCAAAGCCAAGGGAGAAAAACAACAGCCAGTTAAGAGAACTGCAGAGGAAGCAGGACCCTCCAAGAAGAGCAGCACTTCAATGAAGCAGGAAGATACATTTCACAGAAAAGTGTAGGTGATGAGGGAACACAGATGCCAGGGGCCCAGTGACAAAGGGGCAGAGCTGAGGATGAAGATGTGCAAAAGCTCACAGTAACTAAAATGCAGAAGATGAAGTCTGACTTTAAAGT